GGAAACTCTTTGCAAGCGTGCTGTTGCCGCGCCGCCTGCGCTTGCACTTGCCTCTCGGTGCGGCCACATGCCCTTACAGACGGCGACTCGACGCCCTCGGTGACCACCGCGCTGTGGCCCCGCGCAAACCTGCAACGGGTTGCGCCAAATCAGGTGTTCTCGTATCGCGGGCCTTGCCTTTGGAGTGTGCCATCGCTCGTGCTTCCATGAAGCAGGCGCGCGTTCGGGGAAGTATGTGAGGTTGGCAGCAATGAATCTCCATGTGCCCGTCCACGGTGCGCGGCTCATCGACGTCATTTGCAACGGGCTGCCGTGCTGACATGGCGCGCAGGTTGTGTTTGAAGCCGCCATTGTCAGCCCGATTGCGCGTGGTGGAACGCAGCACCCTCGTGCAGACGTTGTGCCCGGCAATGTATTCCGCAACGCGGCCAACCGCAAGCGACGGCAGACATACCCAGAGCCGGGGCGTGCTCGCTGCTGCCGGCTCGTCAATGTGGGCGGGCACTGGGCTACACAAGCCGCAACCTTTTCCGCATACTTGCGCGTGAGCGTGCGGCGTGCGCCACTTGAACTCCGTCCTGCGGCGCAAAGCGCTTGGGTCCAGCGGTGGGGCGGCATCATGTGGCAGCGGAGCGCGCTGTCCATGTCGCTCCCCGAGGCCCATGACGTGCTGCCGGACCTTTGCCGTCTCTTCGCGAGCTCCTCGCAGATGCCCGCGTTGGCTTGAGGGTCCGGCCGCAAATCGCATGCCCGCATGGGCTTGGACCGCATGTCAGCAGCCGTCCCGGATGCGCTGCGGCACTGCACCGGGACCTTAGGACTAAGGGCGGTAAAAAACTGTGCGGAAAAAACAAAACAACCTGCATTCCCAGCAAGAATTTTTTCCCTGAACAAATGGCTGCTTTGAAGGACGGAATTACTGAAGTCCAGTGGCGGGGCGACAATCCCAAGAAGCCAGGCACGAAGCTTTGGGAGAGGCATGCGAAATACTTTGGCCATCGGGGAGGGCAAGGCGCGCAGGCTGCCGGTTCCAAGCGCCTGCCGGGGCCGCAGGGGCAGGCGGCTGCCTGCGCTGTGATCTCCACCCAGCAGCGCGTGGAACTTAGGACTGGCCTCGTCGCCGTTGCGCTCGCAGTGGCCTCGTCGCCGTTGCGCTCCCTGCCCACGAGCAGCTCGAGCAGAGAGCTGGCGCAACCGCGCTGTTGGCTGAAGATAAGTTGCCGCCGCATGGATCTCGCAAGGTTTCATGAGGTGTCCCATGCTTTGCCAGCAACATGGACACAACAAGCTCCAACAAACGTGTGGCAGCCGAACGGACTCCCGACAGAGAGGCGCTGGAACGTTCTGCAGGGAGCCGTTCTTTGAAGCCAGCTTGTCCAAGGTGGAAGTGGGTGCAGCTGTTATTGCAGTCTCCCGAAGCAAAGAATTATTAGACGTGAAGTCAGTGCAAGTTTGCAAGTTTGCCACACCTTGGGGCAGATCGGAACTTTGCTTCCAGAGCAAGGCACAGGAGAGCTTGGAAGAACGGGTGCGGCAGCTACCCGCCCAGTGCAGAACAAGAAGCATGGGAGGAAAGGAAGCCCCATGTCCAGATGGGCAGCGCTGTTGGCCGTTGCTGCTCAGCCAGCATACGCCAGTTTCCTGCTTGAGCTGCTGCTCGCACTCGAGGGCAGCCGCCGCGACGTTGCTGGGAGCACCCGGTGTTGGCTAGCCACCTCCCGCCTGGTGAGCGGCTAGCCTCGTCAGCGCCCTCCTGCCGACTAGTTACTAAGTACATCGTACATTGCGCGATAAGCATTTGAATTCAATGTTCCGATCACGCACAATCCAGCCGTTGGTAAAAAAATGCCCGTGAAGGTGCTGCATTAATCGACGCAACCTCAGGTGTGGATGCGACTTGTTTTTGTTGGGCAATGGTTGCCGGAGAAGCCGATGGGACGGCTCAGGATTTGCTGAGAAGCTCGTGAAGAAGCTGGGAGCCCCGCTGCTTAGCACTGACAAATTTGCCCCCATGCCGCGGTCGTGCGCCCATGTACCGTCTGTTACCGTCTGTTACCGTTGAGGTTAGCAAGTTGCTGCGCTGCACGGAATGGACCCAGCCCATGTGTACCCAACTTGGTTGCCAAACCCGGACGCCACACGCTCCTCTCTCCATACCCTACTTTCCATTCTCTGTAATCTCCACTTCGTCCACTGTCTTCTTCCCACTCGCCATTCGAATTCCCAACTGAAAACTCCAAACTCCAAATCGACGACAGTTACGGAGACGACGACCCCCAAGGAACCCTATCTCTGTGGTTGTTGACGCCTTTGACACAGGACGAAAACATGACCCAAAGCGATGACAATTACAGAACAAGAAGCCCCCAGCTTTGTGATTTGATGGTTGATAAGCACACGAACGCCCAAAAACGACAACCCTCATGTGCCCCTTGACACTCTTGACACGCGAAAGAACACAAGGACCCCACGGCAACGACAATTCCGAGGACCTGCGAACGCGTTACGTAGGCTGGCTAAGGCTTCCACGAGCGTTTCTCAAAACAAACGATAAGATTTAGGGCACTTCCCGGACCTGGGCCGAGAACCCTTACGGTGTTTTCCGAGCAAATCAGGAATGCGAGGAAGTTGAACATGAAATGCACGCGTAAAGAAGAGCTACTCCCAGACCTCGCTTCATCCTCATGTTGCTTTTTTTTCACGTTTTCCAAGGAAACTTGCTTTTCATTCGGCTCCAAAGTACTCCCCGTGCAAACATGAAAAATGTTGGATATAGAATGAAACATTTAAAAATCATTCACCGGGGTCTCTGCTCGCTTCCTCCTGAGCATTTCCGCCCTGCTCCTTTTCTCAATTTTCCCTCGCTTCACCAGGAAACCATAATTTCGGCTTGAGGGCACACCATTCAAAAAGGGCGATTAAAATCAAAACGTGACCAATCTAGTCGCCGCGGTTGTCCGCAACGGCTGCGAATCCCTCCCCCTTCTATTTTGGAAGCATGGAACAATGACAGCAAGACATGTGGATTGGAATGAGAACATTGCAAAATGAAATGGGGACGAATGGAAGGCAATGGACTCACCCAGGCCTCCTACTCGCTTCCCCACCACGCTATTTTCACGTTCTGCTCATTTCGTTTCACCTTTTCAAAGCTAGAAACCGACAGACCACGGCAGCCCTTGCTGCGTGTCCAAACACCCGTCTGTAACGCTGCATGCAAGCGCCTTGACGGCGGCAATACATCTTGCAGATGAATACCTTTAAGCTGTGGACTGCAGGTGCTCAAAGCCTTTGCGAACCTGCAGTCCGCAGCTTCGGGTGCATTTTGCGCACATCTCAATGCAGCAGAAGCATCAGTGTTTGACACTGATTTTGTCAGTGCTGCTGGAATCTGCACTTAGTTCCTGGCGCGACATGCCGTGGTGTCCTGATACGCCGGATCGAAATCGGAGGGCCCGCCGCGGCTAAAAACAAAACGCACGTCAGCTTGGCGCAATGCAAGCGACGGTTGGCGGCAGGATGCGGCAGGTTTGGCAGCAGTGTGCTTTCTCGCGTTGTACCGCGCAGGTGGCAATAGAACGCAAAAAGCAACCGATACGATGAACTGCGGAAACCGCACCACATCAACCAAAGACACGCCTCGCGCTGGTGGCCTTCGTGGGCAACTCGATACAGTGCTGGAGCTTCTGGAACGGACATGTAAGGAATGTGGCCATTGTAGCGCTTGCGACTACCAACATGGTAAACCAGGAGCAGTTGGAGACAAACCATCAGCCTGACTGTGGAAATAATAGCTCCAGGCCACGAGTGCGTGTATATAGCAGCGCGGGCACTGTGCTTGTAAGACGTGTACACAGAAGATTAACAGCTGTGTTGCGAAGAACGCAGAACAGCAAACATGGACATGCTCCTGGCTGCATCGAGATGATTGAAATGTCTACGGCATATACGGAGCGAAGCATTTTGGCCAATCAAGGTTTGGAGTCATCTGGGCAAAGCGCTCTGTTCAACATCTTGCCACGACAGTTGTGTTTGTGGAATCCTGGCTTATGTCACGTCCGTGAGTTCTGAGGAAAATTGGCCACACGATGTCACCAGTTTGGGTTGTCAAATCCTACTTCAAATTGTCTTCAACACTAAGCCCCAAACCCTTAAACCCCTAAAACCCTACGGGCCCCAAACCACCAGCCATCCACCAGCCATTCCTTGGTGACAACTTACGGGCCCATACCCAGCCGCCCAAGCCGGCATATCCTGTGATCCGGCAGCTGCTCAAGACTCCTGGCTAATCATAACGCCAGGAAAGCGTTGGAACCCCACAGATGCCCACAGCTTCTGTGCTGTGAAATTCAACCTTTCGCAGGTCTGCAAAGGAAACAACAACAGCATGTGAGCTCCAAGGCCAAGTAACAGAAGTCCTTGAATTGAGGCTTTCTCCGCATGATGGCTTCTTGCGAGGCGTCACGGCAAGTATTCTTTCCGGTGCGTATCAGGGCACCCGCGCTCTCATTCTCAATATGCTTCACATGGAACGTGAATGCATTCTGTCAGCTGAGTCCTTTGAAGGCATGAGGGCTCAGAACCCGACTGTCTCGGACCCAGCTTGGGTTGCCACAGGAGAAGCCTTGCGGAAACTCAAACAAGAACCACAAATACAACATTCCTGCCCCAGACCCCTACCCATGATTCTGTGTCCATACATTCCATTTCTTGCGGTGTAAGCCCTGGCAGTGAGTCCAAAGCAAAACAAAGCTTTTTCGTCTCTGCCGAATCCAGACAACTGGCTAAACGAAACAGCAGATCTACCTCCGAGTCTTCCTTCAGTGCATCGGATCAGAGAGAGAGAGGGCGCTTCTCATAGTCTTCCCATGATTTTCCAAATGTCTAGCTTCACCTTTGCTTGAGGATGACCATTCTGAGTTCGAAGTCTGCTTTCGGCTTCGGCAGGCCCTCACTCGTGTGCTAGTCAGTTGACTCTGGAGCGAAGGCAGAAGATGACATCACTGCGATCCATTTTCGAGCTTCCAATTTAGATACTCCATGGTGGTCAACATCTCGTCTTCCGTGAGCAGGCGATCCCAGACGATAACCTCCATGACGCCAAGGTCGGACAACTCGTTGATGCCACCGTCGTTGATGTAAAGGTGGACGTCTGGCGCTGCCACTCCTTGCTTGCCATTCGAAACCTTCTGAAGGCCCCAGAAGACGAGACCTGCACGGTTCCCGCAGAGCGGGATCCAGTCCTGTTATCATAGCACAAGGACGGCACTGTAAGAAGACTCAGACATAATCATATGCCAATGCTTAACCCCAAAAGCTCTGAACCAGAAGCCCAAGCCCCAACAAAGCTGTCCTCGGATGCAGAACCTTGGAGGCTGGTAACCCAGGTCCCGTAGTGAGCGACCCCTGTGTGGCCCTCCCAATGGCCATGGAGGAAGTTAGGATGCGGAGCCTGCAACACAAGGGGCAATTAGGCTTCAGGATCTGAAGCTTTCAAGGCTCACCAAATTACGATTTAGAGTTGCAAGGCCTTGAAGTTCAGGGCATACGGCGCGAGGCCCATGTGTTAGGAGTGTTACGCGGGCTCGGGTTGGGATTCAGGGGTGTTGAACTCCAAAAAGGAGAAGGTCTTTGACTGTAGGTGTGAGATACAGGGCTCAGAAGTTTAAGTAGATGTGGGGTTTAGGATTGAAGGGTTAGGGCAAAGAATTTGAGTGTTCCAGGTTGAACAGGTAAGGCTTCGACTTATGGGTTGACAGGGCCAAGGAAGATCCCTGTACCACCCCAAACTTGAGCCCCCGCCCCTCCAAATGGAAAGACTTTCAGGAGTCCTACATCTGCCTTTTAAAAGAATCCTATGTAACGGATGACAGGTTTTAATCTTTGAAATCCTGAGCTTTCAGCACGAACTGGCACCTGATATCTCAGAAACCGCCAGATCCCGTCTCTGGCCTGCAGGATTCGCTTCTGATTCTGGCTCCCTGTATACCGGCTGATTGAGCAGATGCTGTAGTCTCTTTTCCTTGGCTTAGAAATTTATGAGTTGACAGAAGCACAAAGAATTTAAGTTCCAGGACATTGAGCCGAAACAATTCTGAAGTAAACTCCCGGCTTCATGATCTTTCCCAAGTCGTAGCCTGCTGCGGTGCTGCCGGCGAGGTAGGCAACAGGTTTCCGGGCTCCATGCTCAGATTCCTCGATGCGAAGGTAGTTTTGGGGGTTTCCAAAAGGGGATCCCTTTACAATTTGGGATCAAAGGGGGGGGGCGATGTTTAGAAACACCCGTGCAGACATAACTCTATCCTCATCACCTTCCTCACTGTCTGGGTGTGTGTGGGCTCATGTTCTGCTCATCTTGCTTTATCATTTGAGGGCCACGGCAGTGAGCTGCCTGAGCTGGGTGGCAAAAGAGACCGGACTCGACCTGATTTGTCTTACGCGGCCAACGTTGCTCAGGCGAGGCAGAACCATCCGACAATCGAGGACCTGAAGGCCACCTATGCCGCCATAAAGCAAGCTCGAGAGTACCAGGACTACGGGGTGAAGATGCGAAGATTCCCTGGCGGAGATGTCAATCTAAAAAATAGTAGCTCCCATTGTATTTTCCATTCTCCCAATATAACCCCAATATACTACAGTAGCTTCCATTCTTTTTTCCATTAACCCCAAGTCTACCATGACGCGGCCTGGGGAATTGCCGAGCCGGAGGAAGCTACTGTAGTATATTGGTGTGATCCCAAATCGGCTTGATCCTGGCGGTGTCCCTGAACTCGATTGGCGAAAGGCGAGCAGCAAGCCTTCTCGCCTGGAGGTCCCACTCTTGCAAGAAGGTTTGCAGGTCGACATTTGCCGGAGAAACGATCAGCTCCGGTCCCAGCTGCTCACTCTGAAGTTGAGAAGCACGAGGCAGCGAGGATCATCCCCATCCACGCCCTCATCGACTGCCGATCGCTGTTTCGTGCACCGCTGCGGTGCTCTGAAGGCCACGGCTGACAAGAGGTTGGTCATCGATTTGGCATCGCTTCGACAGGTCTTGAATGAGGCAAGCTGGTGGTTTCGAGAGGATTGGCGGCGCCCTCTGACGCTGGATTTTGCAGCCGTGTCAATATGATTGTGACCTACAGTGCGTGCAGTGTTTGCTCTGTAAGCATGTAGCGCAGAAAGCGCCGAGGACAGCTTGATATGGATTCGGCACCTTTAGGCGCACGAGTGCTTTGCTTGGAAAACGTGCCTGCGTGCGCACACTTAATGTTGGCTTGGCTACTGCCCATTGTCACTAGCTGTGTTGACGGCCATGCTGTCCCATTCAGTTGAATGAGCGATGGTTACACTGGTCATAGTAGCAATTGCGAGCTTCTGAATAGTTGAATCGTCGTGTCCCCTGTATACCATGCTCATGCTATGCTCCAAGCATTTTTGATGCCCAGACTCCTCACAGCCATCTCCACTGTGGTGATCGCGTTCTCACGCACCCATTGCGCCTCACGCGGGACACCGCGGAGATTCTCTGGCTTTCCCAATTTCGGGAGCTCTTCTCAGACGGACTGTATGATGATTACGAGGAGGACAAGAATGAGGTGGAGAATGGCCTCGGTATTCGTGGAGTTGGTAGAAGCACTGCGAAGTTTTTGATAATAGCTCAAGGGTCCTTTGAAGCAATAAGAGATGAATATGTAAACGTACCACTTCTTTTGGTGGTCTATACTGCGAACAGGGAACGATTCATGCTGAACCTGCTTTTGCAGAAAAAAGTATACTGGGTCGCCTGGACGACATGGGCTCCTGATCTCGTGGAACTGTCTGTACATGCGTGCGCACGTATGCCTGGTCATAGATAGGCTCCCTCGCACGCTGTTAGAAGACGACTTGGTTGGTTACGATGCGCGTTCATGCTCAAAATCTTGAGCGAGGTAGTAGAATGCAGGTAAAACTGAGGTAAAACACAGGCGACAAGGGGTGACTGGAACGAACAATTAAAAGAAAGGTGGAATAGGGAGAAACACAAAGATATGGAACAGCTAGTAGTAGCTGAGCAGTAGCTAGTACTGAGGGCAACATGGAAGGCAAATTCAGCCTACTGGAAAAGCGTAATGATTCACATAAAACGTTGATTCCATCGCAGTGGGGATGACTGCTAGAGGAGCCATTATCCAGAATGCAGCGCCGATCGCTTCCTCTTGCCTGGGGAGCCGAGGCCACTGGTGAGAAAGACTCTTAAATTGAGGACCCCCTTCTTGCAGAGTGACACATGACACAGCCCTTTAAGCCTTTTACAGAAATGGTGCTTTCAAGGAATCAGGTGGACGCAAAAGGCATCCATCTCTAGAGCTGGAGATTTGCTACAATGTGACGCTAGGATGCCCCAAGAAAACACTCCAAAAGGTTTCGGAATTACTTGCCAGCGGTGCCAAACTCGCCTTGTCCCTGGCTTGCCGATAGCCGTCCTCCATGGTGTCCAGGAGTCTTGCGGCATGGTCCTTTGGGTTCAACCTTCTTCGTTGATGCTCCCGCGGCCAGCTGGCCTTGCCAAAACTAATTAACATGAAAGCCCGTATAGCCCCCAATGCACAAGGACAGGAATTAACTCATAGGAAGCAATTATTCAGGCTCCGCGTTAGTTTGGTTTGAAAGCGGCTTCTCGACCTCGGAGCCTTGTCTTCCCGACTCCCCGCTGTTTAACAAAGACATCCTATGATGTCCTATCTTGCGCTGCTCCGATCTGCGATGTTTGGTGTAAGGCTGTCTTGAGGAATCTACGACGAAAGAGCACACGCCTCAATCAAAGGTAGGATGCTTCTTTGACGCAAGGTCGTTTTTGCTGTTGGGGCGAAGGCGTTTCTTTTTGTGCTGGTGGCGCAACGCAGGGGCACTTGCTTTCTGGCCTGGCCGGGTCCAATGTAAACTGTACAACAAAACAAGACACAAGCAACAACAACGAAAATGGGTTCGCCTCACTTGATCGCCTTAGCCGTGTTAGCCCTTCAGCCAGCATTTTTCCCACAGCCCGACATCAGCCCATTTCTCAAGGAATATCATCCCACTTATCGGACGAGTCTGCTGCTAGTGGGTAAGCTAAAGGAGAAGTACTTGTGAAGATGCAGAGGCGGAAGATGAACATCTGCAAGGCTCCAGGTAAGCTCAAAAGAGGCAAGCCGCAAAATGAACAGCAACACCCAATACACCAAACGAGCATACCTTGCATACTAAGACAAACACACTAACCTACTAAAGCCCTGGACCGTCAGGGAAATTATAACCTAAGTGCGCCCTCAATTCGCCTAAGCCCCAAGCCCCAAGCCCCGAAACCGAGAGGAGAATGCCACGTCTTTACCCAGCTGCGGACTGCTCAGAAGATGCCTTGGTCTCATTGAAAAACGTCAGTATTTGGGTTGAATCATTTTGAAGAGAGATTGGGGTTTAGGGTTTAGGGTTTGGAAGGTTGAAGATTTGTACTTTGGACAGGATGCCTGCCTTACTTGCCCTCTCCCGCTTCTGGCTCACCATTACCCAGCGTGATTCCATTTTCAGACATTAATAGCACTGGCATTTAGGTTTGCTGCCATGGCATGTTTGCAATAATCATCATAAGGGAATGGTCCGCGCAGTTGTATGCAAATATATATATATATACATATATATCTAATATAGATACCTGCGGCTTACTCGGTGTGATGCATATAGGGGTCGCGTTCCATTGCGTAGGCTGCTTAGGGTTCAGGGCCTATTCTTAGCGGGCCATGCCGAGGTAACCCTCTGTGTTTGGGGCATTTGAGTAATGTTTTTTTTGGTGGTGAAGCCCAGTAAGATTAGATTCCTTCTATAAGATACTACACCCCAAAAGGAGGATAGAATCTTACTCTATATTGGGTACCATAGTATCCCCAACTTAAATACTACTGATTTGGAGGAGCTGGAAGGCTTACTGGGTTTGAGTTACTCACGTTCCTGGGGTTCAACACCAGCCGAGATGCTCTGCCTTCATCTCCCTGGCCAGCATCAGTAAAGATAGCTTAGCTGTTTAGTTGTTTAGGGTGTAGCGATGTGTAGTGTAGTCCTCACTTGTCCCCAAAGACCAGGGGATTCTGCAGTGGGTTTCTGGTGCTGGTGGACGAACGATGGCCTCTCCTGCGTGCCAGGATCTCTGCCAAGATACCCGTCGTGCGTTGGCGGTGGTGCTTCTGGAAGACTTTCCTTCAGCTTCAGACCTTCAGGGCTTCTAAACTCCCGGGTTCCTAGTAGGGAGTTCGGGAAGTATAGGGCGAGGCACGTGTGTGCTGGACCGAGGGTTTTCATGAGGGTTTGCAGGGGGGTGCGGGGGAGGGGGTGGGGATAATTCCGAGGTTTTAACACGATTCCGGTCGTATTGGCGCGTGGTGTTTGGGGCCACCGGGTTCTCTTTGAGCATGTTCGAGTCTTGTAAAAATGCCACGACTGCCAGTGTTCTGAGGTAACCTCAGAACACTCGCAGTCGTGGCATCTTTACAAGGCTCGAACATTCTCACCAAGTGCCCGGTGGTCCCAAACACCACGGGCCAATACGACCGTGTGACCCTATAGGGATTAGATTTTTTTGCCTTATTCCCTACTAAAAACAAGTGAGCAGAAGGATGTCCATTTTCGCAAGGTGTGCCATGCCAAGTAAGCATACATCTTCCTCGTTCCTCAAGCTATTTCTCTCAGAAGCAATGTAGTTAAGACAAGGATCCTCAAGTCGAGGCACCTACTGAAACAGGTTTTTCAAGCCCAGTCTCTTCACGATATCCTGGGCCTCGCTGAGCTGCGCTTCCGAATCTTTCTGCTCCACTTCCATCAGGGACCTACAGCTTGGATCAGGCTAATTTAGAATAATTTCAATTCCCAATTTAAGGCCATCTTCGTGCCATTTCCTACATAAACCACCATTTAGGGTGAAGTCGGATGAGGTTGCTTTAAATTGTTCAGTTGTTGGATTCAGGGTTCAAATCATGGGCGCTGTTATGTCCGCTGCGATGGGCTGAGTTCCTGTCCATGACACGAGGCGGG